ATGAGGGGGTGGGACGGCCCGGCGTGATTCGTGTCGGCCCAGCTGGTGCTATTTGCGGAGGTGGGCCTGGAGCGGGAGCTCCACCTGCCCTTATGTTAATCTGGCCCTGCATATAGCTACTTATTATGCGCTCTCTTTAGATGCTGACAGTGGATGAGCTCATTGATGAGCATAAACGTGGCGGCGCTGTGAGTTGAGTAGTGGAGGGGGCGAGTACGACTGTGCTGTATGTAGATCGCTGTGGAGGGTGACAGTGAGATGGAAATGAAAAGAAAAAGGTGTGAAAATAAATCAGCAATCTACAATGTGTGACAACAAATAATCCTAATTTATATTCATTACAATTACTGCAATACATAGGTGGGGTGCCTTCATGGTTTCTTGCACTGGGGCCCTGAGGTATCTAGTTAAGCTTCTGCGTAATGGTAAAGACTCCTTTAAGGTTTTTATTTTTTCTGTCTGTGTCAAGTCGGGGAGATTTCCTTTTACTTCCTATCCCAAAGACACTGCAGGATGTAACAGGAAATCACTCTAAGCAAATAGATACTCCCTTTAGAACAACAAACAAGAGGCCACACTGTCTGTAACCCAACATGGTATTGCCCCGACTATGTAACACGGTAGCCTCTGGTCACATCACCGCCCAACGGCCGCAGTCAGCTAAGATACCGTGTTAAATGGCCTCTTGTTTGTTGTTAAAGCCTGATGAAAACGTTTGCTTGTGAGTACATTTATCCCTTGTTTTATTTATCCTAATAAACGATTTTACACACGGAGGGGGCGCTCGGTTCCCTTTTGTTTTCTATGTTGGTGGTGGAAGCCCCAGAGCCTTGGATGAGCAGCCCCTCAAGTCTGTGTGAAAAACAGCTGGCAGCCATTAGCGCCAAGAGTTAAATAATTTTTTTTTTAGCAGTAAAGACATGACAGAGGTTCTAAATCTTTCCCAACCTATCCAAAACTAATAAAGAAAGTGCTGGCTTTACATACACTTTAAACATTCTAATCCTGCACCAGTTCTGTTATTTTTCAATGAATGTATTCCACATACTGTACATAAAACAAAAGTACAAAAAAATTCCCACTTAGTCAGTCACCCTTTGTAATCAAGAAGCTAGAAGAGGAACAGTTTATAAATGATGTATTTATATTAGGGAAGTATTAAAAGATGGTTTTATCAAGATTACAACAATCATGTGAATGGTAATGGCCATGTATAGTTCTCTTAGGAAGCCTCAAGCAGCACACCATGGTTGGATAGTAGGAACTTCCAGTCTACTCTTCCATTTTGAGTGAAGTCATTGGCGTCTATAGCAAAATTCCAAAGGGGTGGCAACATTTCCGGCAAAGCAAAAATTTCAGGGGACTTTTATAGAAAGTGGTGATTGTATTTGTTTAACATAAATAATGCAATAATGGAAATTAAACCTCAAACATTTAGTTTCTGTTTATAAAATACAAAAAGTTACAATAAGCAGAATGATGAATCAGTGAGCTATACCAATAACACAATGCCAGTGAAAGGAAACATAGAGAAGGGTAATAGAGAAGATAAATCATGGCTACTTGAACAACAGCAATAGTCAAAAATGAGCTAGTTGACAAAGTATAATAGCTTAACATTAAGGCTCTGTTCACATTGCAGCGGTGCAGGAGCGCGTGCATTCCCGGACACAATCTATTATGACTCCGATTGTTGTATTAGCAATTTATACCTTGCTGAGACCTCTATGCCTGGCCAGTATGAGCAGATATAATCACTGCAGATAAATCCTTATCAGATAGCTGAACTCCCAAAATACCTTTTCATCCACAAAATGCTTCATTCTATTCACGCTATTTGAAGGTCAAGGGTGATAATGTTTCCAAGCTAGCATGTACATGTGTTCCTGCTATAGGCAGACATGACACTAAACGACTACTGGAGAAGAACTGCGGTACAATACACACAGGGGGAAGAAATGCAGAAAAACATGGTAACCCAAAACGCCCAAGAACTCAAATAACCCAAAACGCCCACAAGATGGCAGTATAATAATAAGCTATACTAACACCAATGATAACGGCTTAAGGAAAATTAACTATGTGAATTCTCACTTCACATTTGTATGAATATTAACTATGGCTATGAATTGTGTGATATCTTACAACCGTGTAACAGCACACGATCCTATATCTTTTTTGGGGCTTACATATGAAAAGTGTGCAAACCAGAAGTCTTCTTGTTGCCTTTATCAAGCAATCAGCTTCCAAGCGTAATTTCCGCAGTGCGGAGTTGAACTCCCTTTGGTTTGGTGGACTGGTAATGTATCATTTTCTGACAGTATGGGTTGGCTTTTACTGGCACATAGACTTTCTCCTGCTGATGTAATTGATGTGACCAGAAAGTGGGTTTGGGCAGGTATTCAGAACGCAGTGAGATATGGAAGGGCATCATTCATACCTGAAGCCTAGATGGCCAGAGAACATATGCAGTGGGCCCCAAACAGATCTCTGTATGAGGTATATGAATGTATATAATCACATGGCAAAAATCACACAAATTTACTGCAACCCTTCACCATCAGTCATGGTTACTTAGCTTGCAGATAGTTCAACAAAGCTGATTAAAAATCATAATTGTATTAGACAATGTTCATAGCTGAAATCCATTCAGAAAAGAAAAAGTAATTTTATGCAATACTAATGGCCAGTGCCTACATGTAAAAGCTGGTTTAGCTTAAACAGCATGATTGCACTCTCTTAGTCTTCGAGAGAACCCTGCTCTCCTGAACTATGTCTGAACTCTGTGTACTGTCTAAAGCACTCCACCGTCTGAACTTTTCTACCAGAAATTCTGTAAAGCCCAGTGTGCAAATTGAAGTCACCCATTTCTGTCACACACTTCTGTCTTTGTAGCAGCCATTGTAGATATTAAAGTGACATTAAACCCTCAGATTTTTTAACATATACCAATACTGTAATGTGTACCTTACTGTAATCCATGGTTGTTTCCCTTCTCTTTGCTGCTCTTCCTTTTAAATCCTCATGTCTTCTCATGCTTGGGAAGAACTTCCCTTTTCAGCTCAGGGCCTCTTCCTGTAGTGCTGGCTCCGGTTACAAGCCTATACAAACGGATACACAGACACCGTGTATCCATTCCTGAGACAAGGCAGTCTGCTGCAAAACAGCAAAGTTGTGCAGAGCATGAGAACAGATACAGATTTAAAAGGAAGAGCAGCAAAGAGAAGGGAAACAACCATGGATTACATTAAGGCACACATTACACTATTGTTTTATGTTAAAAAAATCTGAGGGTTTAATGTCACTTTAAGGATGTCCATAAATTGATTAATTTTGTACATAATGCTCCCAATTTCAGCACTGCCTGTGACAATCAGGCCTTTTAATGTTACATTTGGGGTGCTGGGCTCAGCTCCCACCAAGGATTTTCGTGCCACAACACAAAATATGTATTAGCAGTATAACTTAATTCTGTCATAATTGTCCCGACTCCCTAATGTGTGTGTATTAATGTGTGTTGGTAGGGGTTTAGATTGCTTCTTCTTGCAGGTGAATGATCTGAATGATGACATCTACTATAGGTTTCTTCAGGCAGGTGAATTATCTGAATGATGACATCTACTATAAGTTTCTTCAGGCAGGTGAATGATCTGAATGATGACATCTACTATAAGTTTCTTCAGGCAGGTGAATGATCTGAATGATGACATCTACTATAAGTTTCTTCAGGCAGGTGAATGATCTGAATGATGACATCTAGTATAAGTTTCTTCAGGTAGGTAAATGATCTGAATGATGACATCTAGTATAAGTTTCTTCAGGCAGGTGAATGATCTGAATGATTACATCTAGTATACGTTTCTTCAGGTAGGTGAATGATCTGAATGAGGGCATCTAGTATACGTTTCTTCAGGCAGGTGAATGATCTGAATGATGACATCTAGTATATGTTTCTTCAGGCAGGTGAATGATCTGAATGATGACATCTAGTATACGTTTCTTCAGGCAGATATATATGTAATATATATTGTGAGTGTGTGTTCATGTTTTAAAAAGCTTTGTTTCTGTGTATAATTTGATGTTAACTGTAAATGTGAATTATATTTCCACTTTAATAATTATATCAGCCACTTCAAATGATACTTTAATTACGAAGCCGGTATTTACTTAAAACATTTTACAAGCCAAATGTTTTAAACGCGTTCAAATGCTGATTAACTGAATTGCAATGGACGATACTTCTTGATTCAAAGTTTTTTAGCTTCCTGCAGAATCAGTTGGTCTCCTGAGCACTGGCCCTGGTATCCTGTTTTATGGTGGGTTCTTTCCCTGGCAAGAATCCTATGGAGCCACCCATGTGTGTGCCAGTAAGCTGTGTGTGTCTCCACAATGACATATATAAGTAAAGATTAAGACACCGGCACTCCAAATTGGGACTGAAAAGCTTTTGCCTGAGGAAGGGGTTCCTCTGTGCCCCCGAAACGTTTGTTGCTGTTTACTATGCTGCACGTCAATAAATAGACGTTTGCTCATGAATTTGGAGTGCCGGTGTCTTTATCTTTATTTGTGATTATAGCGGATGCCACCCGTTGACTACCGCAGCACCCGCTTTTCAAAGGGATTTGGCGGTCAGGAGTGCAATGGGACCATGGACTTTCCACAATTACATAGGCACAGCAAGGCAAGACATTCTTCTCCTCCTGCTCCCCACTCCTACTTCCTCCCTTTTCCAAGCCAGTAGATGGACAGCTGCTAGAAACTGTGCTCTGTCCCTTGTGATCTTGCACTGAACAGGAAGCTCAGCCAAAAGAATTGGAGCTGTTTGAGACAAAAAAACAGAAATGCTTTTCTTGGCAATGTATATTTGTTTGATCTGGAGTTATTATAAAAAAAGTTCAAGAGTTTAATTCTACTTTAATAAACCTCTCTTAGGCTTCCTGAAATGTTTTCTGGGCTTTGGACGCTGGAAGGCCGCAACTGGAAAAGGTTAACACCTGCAACAAAGCCTGTGCTCCTTAAGGTTACAAGCAGCTATACATTCAAGGTTCCTGATGGGAGCACAATTTGTCTGACAGAAGCTGACGTCCTAATATTGCTAAACAAGTTGAATAAAGACTGGTGGCAGGTCAGGAAAGTTGGAGATAGTGAAAACACAAAGCCATTCCAAGTACCCACCTTATTTATCAATGAGCTAATAACTCGGAGAAGTGTTGGATACAGAAAACAAGATAAAGTAAGAAAAGGTAATATACCCTTCTCATATGCTTTAACACTTTTGTCATACTGATATTTCTTAAAACCTAGCAAGTGGATCTAATCTATAAAATTATAAAAAAATATGTTGTCTTAAAGTGGGTACGCACCCATACACTGACATTTAAGTTTGGAGCAGAGGCTGGCAGGCTGATTCATCCAATGTTTTATGATCTCTCTAGAATTCTGACGACAAGACCTCTTCCTCTGAATTACTAAGTGTGCTCACTGAAAAGTTTGCATTTATTTTACATAACATAGAATGCAACAACAAGTAATACTATTTATTGACCAAATCAGTGGATTGAAAATGCTTTCAGAAAGTGAGCCTGAGTTACCCAATATATTGCACCACTTTAAAGTGTTTCTAAAGTCTGTAAGTTTTTAATTGGTCTGTCTGTGGCAAGTAACCAGGGACACTGATCTCCAGGCAGCCCAACTCTCCCAGGCGCTTCCGGGAGTCTCCTGCTATTAGATAGTGGCTCCCGGCCACCCGGGAGAGAAACACTTTCTCCCAGAAAGGTTTACTCTGCTCGATCGAGCAGAGTAAACCTTTCCCTGCTCTGTTTTTTTTTTCTTCTGACATCGGAGCCATTGGCTGCCGTCAGAATAATACATAAAAAAAAAATCACCATTGGAATGCATAGCTAGATTCCTATTGGCTATTTCAATTTGCAGAGGGGACCTGAAGTTCTCCATCAGGTCCCCTCTAGTGATTGACAGCAGCAGAGGGCGGGTGCAATAGCTAGCTTGCTATTGGCTATTGCAAAGTGAAATAGCCAATAGGAATCTAGCTATGCATTCCTATGGTGATTTTTTTAAATAGAAAACAGTTGGGCCGAGCTAGCTGCCACTGCTATCTCCGCCCAATCGTTTTCTATTTTATTTTTTACTACTTTTTTAACTGTTTTTCTATTCTGCTCGGTACCACTGCTGTTCGGCATCTATGAGAATAGGCCGAACAGCAGCGAGTGGCCTGCCGGAGGTTCGGCCTAGCCGATCCATATGTTGGAACGGCTGAGTCGAACTCCTTCTGCACTTCGGGTCGGCCGAACATGCTGAGCATCCAAACCTAGCTTCAGCAAGCCGATGTACGGCTTATTTCAGCCGATGTACGGCTGATTTCAGCCGATGTACGGCTGATTTCAGCCGATGTACGGCTGATTTCAGCCGATGTACGGCTGATTTCAGCCGAAGTACGGCTGGAATCAGCCGTACCAGCCTGAAGTGAATAGCCGAACAGCGTTCGGCTCACTTCGCTTGGGGTCGGTTAGTCACTCGGCTGCCTACGGCAGCTTAGTGAATAGACCCCTAAAAGATTTCCATTTACCTTTATTCAACTTTACTTTTGTTGTCTGAGCTTGACGCTTAAGCTGCAGTATTAGGGGTCAGAGATCAAGAATGATCAAGACTGAGAATACTTTCAAAAAGTTTATTTTTCTTTGCAAAGTTTTTTCTAGTTTACTGTTGACAGTAACAGTTTATCAAGCAAGAAGTCAGTAATAGACAGTGCAAAGAAAATGATAGATTCTCACTCATATAGAGACAATATGATGTAAACACCTAGAAGGACAGTTGGCCAGTCTTGTGATGCCTCAAACTGTCACATCCCTTACCATTGTCAAGAAGTTTGTGGCAACAATAACATTTGTTGAAGTCTTTCAACTAGTCAATGATCTGTTTTGTTAAAGTGACACTAAACTCTGGAGTTAAATCTTAAAAATACATTCAAGTACCTTAACTATTAACAAAAATGTATCTCATTTGTGTATCACTCGGCTGTAGATCCTCAAATCATCTCTGAATTGGTGCTGACACTGTCCTTTCTTCTGGAGGGTGGCTACGTTTGTTCTTCATGGTCACTATGTGTGTTGTAAAGTAGCCACCGCTCCAAGTTTACTCCCATGATGGACTACAATCTCCCACTTTTTCTCCCCCAGTCCCCCCCACACTTAACTGTCAGCGCCGCTCGTCCCCGCCCCCGGGCCCGAAGTGATCTTCTGTTCCCTCGTACTTCCTGGTTGCAGAGGGAGGATACTGATGGCAGAGGAGCCATTGGCTCCTTCTGCCATCAATCAAAGGGAGAAGGGGTGTGGCCTGCCACAGGGCTGTGTATGTCTATGGGCGCACACAGCCACTGCGGGCACAAGCGTGAACGGGTGCCTCCATTAGCCGACGGAGGCACCCGTACAGGGAGTGGGGAAGAAGAACGCAGCGGGGACCCACTTGAAAACTAGGAATTTAAAGATTTTAAAGAAAAACAACAACAGCCTCAGGCAAAGGTGAGCATCCATATAGCAAATATTAAAAAAGGAAGGTTTAATATTGCTTTATAACTCTCATGAGATTAGTCCCTTTGTGTGTATCACATACTTTTAATGTGAGCTGCTACAGAAGAGATTTTCATTAGTGCAATTTATCTTCCAAAATTGCAAAATGCTTAAATGTGCATGCATAGCAACAACTATTAGTGATTGTTCTCTCTTTCCTCCTTAGACTTCAATAAGAGAAGGATACTCCAAAAATGTCTCATTCATGCTATCTTTATGTGATTCATCAAGCATTCACAAAGCATTTTTAATATTCTGTTGTATAAAGAGAAATTATCAATTTAAACACACTGGGGAAGTTATCAAAACTTTAGCAGACAGAATCCAGAGCAGTTGCCCATAGTAACCAATCAGCTTCTATCTTCAGTTTGTTCAGTTAAGCTTTACAAATGAAAGAGAGAAGCTGATTGGTTACTATTGGCAACTGTTCTAGATTTTGGCTGCTCCACTTTTAGTAAATTCCCTTCACTGTGGTTTTGGTTAGTCTACTACAGCAACAGTTGAGCAATGTAGAAGCACAGAATAGAAACTAAAATGGTGGTTTGGGCACAGGGTTGGTAGTGACCAGATAAGTGGAAGATATTATTCCTTGCGTTAATACCGATTCCTGATGTAAAAAGCAAATGTGCAAAATTAACATGAGGCCATTCTGTTTTATTCGTGAGAATTTTTCTTTTCAGGGAGCAAACTGTTTCACAGATCCCAGGATAACCTGTTGGTTTCCTGCTTTGCACCGTCTCTGATGGAGGAACATTACTATGTTAAACAGAAATGTGAAGGTTCTCCACAAAATGATGCCGAGAAGCCAATTCTAACCAATGTTTTAACAAGAACTCATAAGAAGTCCGCCAGCTTCTCTCTCAGTTCTTCGTGGCATGGACAGTTCCCAAAAAGTGAAAAGCAGAAATCAACATTCCAAAAATGTGTTTCTGAAAAGGTGAGATAAAAATTCAATTGATTTATACTTTATTTGTAGATTGTGCTTTCTTACTGGCTTTCACGTGACGTTTTGAAGTGTATCTCTAACGGCATTTGAAACAAAAAAAATGATAGCATGAGTAGAAATTAGAATCACAGGTTTTATAGGGAGACACCAGTTCCAGTGACAACTGTAAAAGAGAAGATTTCCCCTCACTTTGGAGAAATTTCATCTGGCTTCCTGTTGTGTCTCTATGAGAGAAAGTAAAGGGAAATCTCTCTGGTGGGACACAAAGAGCAAAAAACCATTTTACTAGACATGTGCGATTCGTTTCGTTCCGAATCGAAATTCGGACAAATTTTCGGAAATTCGGACATTCGGATGTATCCGAATTCCGAATTACAGACATAACGAATGCAAACGAATCCGAATTTCCATTTCCGAAATTCGGTAGTGGTAGTTCGAACGTTCGTTTCATTTTCTGTTCTTATTCGTGTCTTATTCGTTTCTTATTCGTTTCGTTCGTTGGAGAAAAATATTTTTTCCCCCTCAAATGTCACTTTGCTGCAAACGAACGAACGAATCAAATACGAACAGAAAACGAAACGAACGTTCGAACTACCGCTACCGAATTTCGTCCGAATCCGAATTCCGAATCCGAATTGACTTTCACACCCGAATCCCGAAAAACGAAATAACACAAATCCGAATTTAAAACGAAACGAAACGAATTTTTTGGCAGTGCACATGTCTACATTTTACCATTCCCTATTCAATCCAAAGTACAGCTCTTAAGCTAAACTTACACACATTTATCCATGCAATTCACATGTATAATGAAAGGGACCCAGTATGATACAATATTTGTTTTGAAGACTGTCACGGTTCATCTGTGCATAGTTTAAAAAAATTATTTAGACATTCTGTCCATAATTGATTTATATGAAAAAACATTCAAAAAGGAACTATAAATTAGCCAATGGATCATATCCAATGCCTTTATAACCTGTAACCTGTTTGGCCAAGATATCACATTAGATTAGCATGTTAGCTTTTGGCTATTGGCTAAGAAACCCTCTTGTTTCAGTGCAGATTAACTTTTTTTTAAAGCACCAAGAATTCAGTGCTGGGAATTGCACTATTATATTTTGTTTAGGACGAAACATTTTAGGAAACAAAAAATAGATACATATGAATACACAAAAGCTGGCCATAGAACCCATGGCTAACTGACTTTATTGAGAAGGCCAGGTACTGTGACATAAGGGGCAATCATTTAAAACCATTCTTTTAGAAAAGAATCCAAAGCACAAGAGAGATAGACGATGGTTTGTCCTGCTGGACATTTGAAAGAGCAGACACTGTTGGGAAACCAGTTACAGATCCAAAGGACCCCTTTTCCTTTTTACTAAGTGAATTAATGGTCAGCCATATTGGAATGCAGCTCATGTGGCTCTCCACTATAAAACTCAGTGTAGCCGCATGGGTTGAAAAGCACAACATTAAAAGCTCAAAATCACTAATCATTAATTTTATTTGGAGCAACGTGGACACAAAAAGCCTTTTTATTTCCATAATTTCTGTGTAATGGCCATTGGTATGTCTTCCCATGTCATTGCTCCCTAAATATGTAGCTTTCCAGTGCCTTGCAGTTTGCTGGTAGTTCCTCTAATGATTCACCAAATAATTATGTTTGCTTTCCTCACTGGCAGGCCACAGTGCTCAATTTAAAATAATCTGAAATAAACACACCCAAAATCTTTATCCTTTGTAATTCTAGCCAATAGTGTACCCTCAATATTGAGGATTCTTTTGCATATTATTTTGCATTTAAGAAAATTGAGCGTCAGTTTGTACTGCTTTGACTAATTTTCCAGCAATGCCAAAGCACGTTCTGCATTACAAATACCTCCAGGAACATCAACCCTATTTTCACACCTTTGTGCCATCTGCAAAAATGCATACCTTGCCTACCAAGCCTTCTGTTATATCACATACAAACAGATTATATAGAAAAGAACCTAGAACATAGCCTTGTTGTACACCATTAGTGACTGGTCTCTGCTGGGGTTGTCTATGTAAATCTGAAGGACCTTGATAAAGATGGACTAAGCTCCTTTAATATGTTGACAATAAAATGCTGATGCTTTTACTTATCTCCACTACAAGACCCATGAGTGCCTTTATACCTACTTTGGATTTTAACACTGAAGGCACATATGGGAATCCTAAATGTTGCCCTTGTCTGGTAGAATGTTAACTGGCTACCTGTCTGCTGAGTTGGTGGTTGTACAGCAACTCTACATCACCACAGCTAAGTCAATTGACTGGTCACTATCGCAATGACATGCAGGATTATGTTAAATTGATCACTTCCTTTGTGGAGCCAGTCCCCCAAAATGTTGTTCTTCCTCTTGTTTATGATCAGTGCAGTTTCTGTACACTTTTATTTATTCTCATGAGAGCTGTCAAACAGGTTCAACCACATTGAATGTATTAATGTATGTACTCAACAAAGAATGTCTTTCAGTATTTGTTTTACTTATTTCTAGCACGAGGAAACATGATTCTGTAACCATTCAGTATTTCAGCCTTGCTTTTCATCAAAACCGTAGTCAATACACAGTGCTGTGTCCTGTGCTCTGTCCTGTGCTGATTCTGCTCTGTGCACTTTATAGTGTGAATATGACCTATATAATTAACTGCACTCCCAGCACTCTTAGCCCCTTGTAATCCTTGTACTGTGACTTACATTTACTGTTGTCTCTTATTACCATCATATCAAAGTGTTGAACTCAATTTGATAGTGATATCTTTAAGCCAGTGATAATTGACCAGTAGCATGTTCCAAGAGCATGTTGGAGCTTGCAATTCTATAACAGCTGAACATTCACTCTTTGTCTATCACGGTTTTAGGCACATATTGCTGTAGTCTTAAAGGGAATGTATTGTGGATTTCCTTACTATTATTTTATAATTGTTTATTTATAATAGTGATGACCAAATATAAGAATACAAAAAAAGTTTTTAAAATAATGTTTTAGGCAAATATAAAATATTGTAGATAAATATTATCCAGTCCTCAATTGTGCCAGCAGGTGGAGCTCTAGTCGTTGTTTCACATATTCAGGCAATTCAGCTTTTAGGTGTGCCAATAGAAGCCCATTGTTTATCAAACTGCAATTGGTCATCAAGGCAGTGACTCTTTTCTTATCAGAGGGCTTAGTACCAGTTTTCAATCAAATAAAGGGTTCTCCAGAGCAAGCAATGTTTATTGTGCTTTCCCTTTAGATAACTAGTAGTGCTTGCTGAGTCCTTTGTTAGATATTAAATGTTTATTTATTAATTATGTATGATAAAACAGATATAAAACAACAGTTTAAAAACATAAACAAATAAACATAAAAAAACATAAACATACAAAAATAATAATGTTGACCCAAACCAACATAGTCTACCTAAATAATAATAATAAAGTTGACACAAAACATTAAAATCTTGTATTGGTGAGTTCTAACAAGTATGGAGTAGCTCTATAAAAACTGAATCAAGGGCTCTATAATCAGGCTGCATCTGAGCAACATTACCACGCAATGTTGTTCTAGAAAGAGCAATAATGGTACAGATGGATATAAATAGGTTTTATCTGTAACTGGTTCTGAAGTAAAAAAAACAGTAAGGACCCAGTCACATCCTCATGGTATGGTAATTGTACAGAAAAATGCATTTTACTGTGTATTACCACAAGACGTAATAATGAGCAAACCACAGTGCATTGCGCTGCTATTCTTTTGGATGGCACCCCTATGCACTATTACAGTTGCAATAGCACACTTGCACTGCGAGGCACCACTATACACATGCAATACATTGTTGTTTGCTGAGTTTCAACAAAACAGGTCATGTCCATTATTTCAGACCTTCAGTTATTTTTCAAAAATATAGTAGATTATGTGTCATCAGCAATTTAGACCTGGTGCTTTTCTCAACTCATTCTCCCATAATAAAATCTCAGATTACAATTAATTTTAGATCTTCTTTACCAGATAAAACCAAACATCATGCAAATCACTCCGTCACTGAATATGTCAATTTTTTTTACAACCCCGGCCCGTTTATATGGCTGTGAGGGTTCATCTGATGAACTATGGCTTAATTTCACATTAAATCATGTGCTGTCCATGACAATTTTTTTTTTTTTTTTTACCTTGGGAGTTTTCCCTTTCTTTGGAGGGATTTCCTCTAACTTCCTGTTGTGGCTATCGAACAGGAAGTGAAGGGAAATCTACCCAAATGAGACACAAATGCCTTCAGTGCTTATAACCCTACGTTACTCTATCCAAAAAAAAAAAGTTTTGGTTTCAGTTCTAATTAATTACATGAGGATGAATATTATCAATAGATCAATAGAAACCTTGCAACTTTTGTTTCAGAAAATTTACAGTGAATACACTTTGATGTTAAACAGCACTAATAGTATGGTGATTACCTTGTGTATTTGTTTTACATCCAATCCTTTTGTAGATGTTTTGCATCTGCTGTGGAATCACTATATTGCTGTTTTTCTTGTGCTCAGGACCACAAATTAGCAAAATTAACAGGTTTATTCACTAAAGGGTGAAGAGTTTGGAGAAGGCAGGAGAAGTGAACAATCTAGGACAAAATAACGGATTTCGAAACATTCTCCAATTCAGCTCACTTTCCAGTTCAGCTATGTTGTCCTAGATTGTCCACTTCTCCTGCCTTCTCCAAACCATTCACCCTTTTGTGAATATCCCTGTAAGTGTGGACAGTCTAAGGTTACAATCTTTTGAACTTTAGAACCATACAGGAGTGATGGTGATGCATACATAAAGTGGTTTATTATTGATTATTAACTATGGACATTATTCTCCAGGAACAGTGTATCGTACTATAGTAAGAAACAGTTATTATTCCATATCAGAGATAGTAATGATCACTAATACAGATTGATGCAGGGCCCTACAGAATGTATTTTAGGTGCTTTTAATGATTCA